GCAATGCTTGGTAAGAAATGTACGCATTATCCTGCCCATGTAATTGTAACCCCTCTGTACAGTATGTTCACAAATAAAAAATAAATAAATAAATTTAAAAAAATTAAAAAAAAAGAATTTTAACAGTAAGAATTTATGACTTATGGAGCTTAGATAGAGGAAGAAAAAGAGGAAGAAGCTTCAGGCACTCCAATGTTTGGCCATCATAGGATTGTGAGAATAGTGGATGCATTGTCTTAAGTGAGGATGGGAAAGCAGATCTGGTTTGTTCAGGAGAATTTTCCAGTTTTACATTGTGAATTTAGAGTGATCCACTGGAGATGTCTTGGTAGCCAAAACTAACAAGATGCAATTTTCTACAGGGATAAATGTAAATTCCTACATTTAGTTTAAGAAAAGAATTCAATTGCACAAGTGCAGGATGTGGGTTATCTTCTTGACAGCTAACAAGGTTTTTCTTTTGGCCACAGACAAAATTAATTATTTGCCAAACAAAGCGTCCTATTGCAGAAAGAGTTTATACCATGTTAAGCTGTATTCGTAAGAGTATACCCATCTGCAAAAGGGAGTTTAAGGGATCCTACCAGCATCTGTGCTGTGATCTTGTTTCATGTTTTGCCTTGTCTTCCTTTCCTTCAGAGAGGAGCACTCACAAAGATTAGAGTGGCCAAGTTGGTCAGGGTCTGGAAACTATATCCTTAGGGAAGTGCCTAAGAATTCAGAAAGAATGATAGTAATATTATAAAAATTTAAACAATTATTATGTGGGAAAGAGAAATGAGAATAATATAATTGTTTATGGTAGTCTAGAAAGAATTGGGCAGAAGTTATAGGGAGCCTAAATAAAAAAGTAATAGACAGATGATAGACATATAGACAGACAGACAGATAATAATGAGAAAAAAGCTACTTGTTACTGGGCATACTCATGAAGAAGGTACTGCACCTTATATGTTGGATTACATGGTTATAAAAGTGCCTTATATATGTAAGATCCTCTAATCTCTGGCATGATTATAAAAAAAGTTGTACCAACAGTACAGTTTTATAAATGGCAACATACTAGTTTCCAAGATAGAAATAATTACACTCTGCTAATAACAACAGGACTCTGTTATAATTATTCAAATAACCCAAGTTTTAAAACTTCTCAAATAGTTTTTTATATGACAAAATCTCCAAACTCCACTTTCAGATCTGTAACCATGAATTGTTACTAATCAAGCACTCGAAAGACTTTCTGGATTCACTATTTCAGAATGTCTTCATTATAAAGCACCATTTGAAATTAAAAAAAATTAAAAAAAATAAAGCACCATTTGGAATAATCTCTGTCACTGAATCCCCAACGTTTTACCTCAAACATCTCCAAGGAGGAAGGACATTTATGTAAAGAAACTAATCCCAAGTTTCTTTTCAACTCATTATGTTTTCTCTCATTATCCATCACAAAATGTTAATGAACATTACTTAATTTACTTCTTGTCTGTGTTATTTCCTAATATAAAAGTAATTATCTGTAGGCTCTTGTATGTCTTGTTCATGATGGTATCTCTAGTGTTCAGAAGAGTAGCAGATGTTCACTAAATATATAATGAATATAGTTGTAACTAAGTTAATGAAAAATGTAAGTTGGGAGACATTTTTGAAAATAAGTAAATCTTTGCTGCAGTATCTCTGGACCTTTTCAGCGTAATAAAGTTATCTGTGCAGAACCCTAACATATTTGTGTGGCTACAGAGTATAGCAACTTATAGGAAAGCTTGTGAATCTTTTATTTCACCTTGCCTTTTGAAAGTAAATCTCACTTCTATTCTCTTTATCTTAGTTTCTTAGTTTGAAATTATTTACATTTTTGAGCTTTGCAGCTGCCCCTTTTCATTTTTTTTAAAACACGCCACATTATTTTTTGTGAAGCTTAGACTTTTTTTAGTCTTTCCTTGCCAAAGGGTATGTAGTTAATAGGTCAGCTACATAAAATTTGCTTTCCTGGGTCATTTTGTAAAATCTTCTTGAGAGCTAGGTTGGATTAAAAAAAAAAACCCTCAAAAACCAAAAATCAAAACTGTGGTTGCCACTTTTCCCTAGGTTACTCTTTAAAATATCTTAAATTCCAGCAGATGACTTTGTTTCATATTTTGTTGGCAAACCAGAAAGAAACTCAATATTTCCATCACTGAACCTATCCACTGACCTTCTCTGTCTTCTCTAGCTTCCTTCCTACTACTCCTTCCCTCCTACTTCTTTGATCCCTCTCCCTATCTGTGACAGTGTCTTCATATAGTTTGTGTCTTGTTATTTCTTATATTCTTATGTTATATTCTGTGAGCATCTCTCTCCTTGTTTCATTTTTCATTCTTTACAGGAGTTTTTTCTACCAGCATGAACTACATTTACTTTTTAATTTTAGAGAGAAACAAATTCCAGTTCCTTTCTCATTTTCTAGTTTCCTTTAACATTGAAAGTTCTTAACAGTTATTATACTTACTCTCCCCATAGCTTGTTTTAATCAGACTTTTGACCTAGTGCTTCACCCCCATTGTCATGGTCACCAATGACTTTGATGTTGCTAAATCCAGTGGTTATTATTTTAAAAATAATTTTATTGTTCTTATACAGGTGATGTACAGAGGGTTTACAGTTACATGAACCAGGTAATGAGTATATTTCTTTTTGGACAGTGTCACCACTTTCCTTGCTCTTTTCGTTTCTCCCTCCCATCCCCACCCACGAGTTGCAGAGTTCGTTTTCAACCTAGAGTCTAGTGAGTACCACTTCTGCTTTTGTTCACACTTTCCAATGGCTATTTCTATGTCTTCATTTTTCTTAACATTTAACTAGGATCTGACCCAACAACTCCCTTCTTGTAATCACTTTTTCTTCCTTCCTGACATCTGTGGTGCTACCTATATTGGAAAGTCTTACACACAGATTGTGTAACCTATTGGGGCAGTTTTCTCAGGAGTGAAACCAGCAGGACAAGGCAGGGGAGGAAACACAGTCAAAGATGTCATTATAACTTGTTCTACTGGTGATATGAAGCAAATATAGTTACCAACGTGAGATTGAATCTTTTTACTCAAATGGATACCAGAATATATTTTAACTTCAAAGTTTCAGATGCATAAGTTTAAAAAATAAGATCTATGATTCTTAGGTAAAAAATACATAAGATTAAGAACCAGGTGCTGGTGGCTCAGGCCTGTAATCCTAGCTACTCAGGACACTGAAATCTGAGGTTCACTATTCAAAGCCAGCTTGGACAGGAAAGCCTATGAGACTCTTATCTCCAATTAATCACAAGAAAACCAGTAGTGGTGCTGTGGCTCAAGTGCTTGACTTGAGCTTATGAGCTCAGGACAGTGCCCAGTCCCAAAGTTCAAGACCCACGACTGACCTCCCCCAAAAAAAAAGAAAATACATAAGGAAATTAAATTTTTAGCATGGGCTTTTAGGAGAAGAAATTCCTTCATAAAAATTATTGACAAAGAGCTATATATATACCAAATATTAGGTAGTATATAAATATGAATTATAAATTACCAAAATTTTCTTCCTATTGCCATGAATCTTGTCTTTCAACTCCTATGATTCCTCATTGTTTATACATAATATTAAAAATTCTGTTGTCTAAAGTTGGTAATTACATCTGAATGGGAAATTCTGCTTAGAACTGAAGGAAAGACTTTTTGTTATCTTGAAAAGAGAAAAATTTCATGTTCTTGAAAGTAGTTCTGAACCATTGACTTTTTTTAAAAACTGGAAAACTAAGAAGGATTTTTATACTCCTTCCTGTGTCTGACCAATTTATCACTTTAATATATAGGAAGATCTACATTTATCTTTTCATTAGTTGCCTTTGTAAGCTTTATCATCTCACAGAGTGACATCAAAGTTGAAGCTCCCTCAGCTCTATAAGTAATTGTGCAGTCTTACTGACCTAAATAAATTTTACAAGAGAATCTCAGATCTTGACTTTCCTTCTCATTTCAGTTTTCTGAGGGTGTTTAAAGTGAATCATCACTTGTTTTAAAGTACCCTTGGAATGGTTGGTAATACAATTTCAATGAAGGGATAGGTAAGAATGCTGAAATATGTGACATTGATTAAGATGCATTGTGTTCATACACTGCTTTATAAAGTGGCAACTCCTTTGTACAGCTACTTAAAGATTATAAAAATATTAAAAAATGAGATTGTAATTTAGTTGACATGAACTAAGCATGAAACTCCAATGAACTTCATTTTATAAAAGCAATTTTATATTTAAGAAAATAATTTAAGATTATCTTTAAGTGTTCTTAGGATGTATAAATTTCAGCAAATCATTTTCTTTCCCATTTGTCAGTTGGTAATATAGGGATACATGAAATCTCTGTTGTGTTGTTGTGTTTGCAGTTGATATTCCTGAATCTGGGAAACAATTTTTTAGAAGAAGTCCCAGAAGAGATAAAATACATTACCTCCCTGAAGAAGCTTCATTTGTTTGGAAATAGGATTTCTAAGTTTCCACCTGGAGTGTGCGGTAAGTTAAAAAGTAAGAACATTCTAGCATTGTATACACACACACACACACACACACACACACACACACACACACACGTGATTTTTTTTTCTTAGTCATGGGGCTTGAACTCATAGTGTGCTGTGTCTGGGCTTTTTTGCTCAAGGCTAATGACCTCTACTTCTGGTTTTTTGGTGGTCAATTGGACATAATAGTCTCATGGATGTTCCTGCCTAGGCTGGTTTTCAACCATGACCTTCACATCTCAGCTTCTTGAGTAGCTAGGATTATAGGAATGAGCCATCAGCACCCTGCTTCTAGAATCATATTTAATAATATATGGTTGACTTTAATCCCTTATATTTAATAATGTGGTACTAAAATAACTCAATTTTTTTGTGGATAAGGGGACTTGAATTTAGGACCTCACATTATCCCTTAGCTTTTTTGCTCAAGGCTGGTGCTCTACTACTTGAGCCATACCTCCATTTCAGGCTTTTAGCTGGCTAACTGGAGATAAGACTCTCTAGGATTTGCCTGATTGGATTAGCTCTGAACCATGATCTTAAGATCTCAGTCTTGTGAGTAGCTGGGATTATAGGCTTAAATTACTAGCACTGAGTTTGTATTAAGTTTTTATTTCAATTTTTTTTGGTATTAAGTATTTATATCTAGATCTAAGCAAATTAAATATTAGTGCTTTGAATTCTACCCTTTTCAGAATTAGTGCATACTTAGACTCCTACCATTTGGGACCTTTATTTTCAGAGGCAGAAAGAAAACTTTTGAAAATTGAAGGGTCTTTGTTGTTGTTTTTATCTGGTTTCATTATTTCCTTTTTTTTTTAAATTTTGGTTGGCCGTGGGGCTGAACTCTGGGCCTGGGCACTGTCCCTCAACTCTTTGGCTCATAGTGCTACTTCTAGCATTTTCTGCTTATGTGGTGCTGAGGAATTGAACCCAGGGCCTCAGGCATGCAAGGCAAGCGCTGTACCACTGAGCCGCCTTCCCAGCCCTCTTTCTTTCTTTTTTAATTTTGTCATCAGGTTTTGGTGTATTTTTGTGACACTGGCGATCAAGCTCTGGCCCTTTCACATGTTAGGCAAGTTGATTGCAACTGAGCTATTTCCACAGTCCTTGAAGTACTTGAAAATCTTAAAGACTATGAAGGACAACATTTCTACTCAAAATAATAACTCATAAACAATTATTGAAACACATACACATTATATTGAGTGGACAAATTTATAGACAATCAGATATATATAAATATCATCCAACAACCTTAACTTAGGCTAATTTGAGTTTCTATATGGATTTTTTTTATCCCATGTTGCCCATACATTTCAGATAACATGTTAGGTCTCTCTCTCTTTTTCTATTTATCTATACCCCCCATACATACATATACATATACTTAACATGTGTGGATATATACATATTTTTATACATATATACACATGTACATATATAGTACTGCTTTACATATCAATATAGACACCAATATATATGTATATATATATATGGTGATATATATATATATACATATATATATATACATATATATATATATATACAGATAGATAGATAGATTACATCACATTTTGTTTTAAGGTGAGAAAAGAGAAGCCACATTTTGAAGGATTGAATTGTGGAGTCCTTATTAAAAGTCTGGCGACTGCATGGTGGACTCCTGTCTCAAAGACCAGAGCCAGCAAATACACTTAGCACTGTTAGGAAACTGAGCCATGAAAGCCAGAAAAAAAAGAAGCAATACCAACAAATCAATTCAGCTCCAATGGAGAGCTGAATTGGGACACCATGGTGACCAGAGAAGAGACAGGAGCCAGGAGCCAAGACACACAGAGACATGTGGCATGGTGGAATATGGTGGAATGGTGCCTGAGCTGGTCTGGGCTTAAATAGGGTCAGGTCAGGGGAGAGGGTCACAGGAAACCCCCAGTGCCAGGTTTAGTAATCTGTCATCCAAGTTCCTGCCCCTGCCTCCAGGGATTCAGACATGCCCATCACCTAGGAGGTGGAACTTCACCTTCCCCCACCATGAAGACAAGATGCCAGACTTTACTATCCACCATGTAGCCAAGATGGCGCTAGCCAGACCCGACTTCCCTATAGAGAGATTTAGATAATCTACATAAGTATAAATAAGGCAAGAGATATAGAGATATTAGCTGTATATCTACATAGAATCTCGGTGGAGTACCCTAGATCGTTTGCAGTTTCTGGATATCTTAAGTTTGGATTCTTAAACTTGGAAACTTGTTGAACTTTTTATGTGATGGACATAGGCAATATTTTGTGTCAAGTTGTGATTGTTTAGGGGTAGAAGTAGTTTGATGTCTGGGGTAGAATGTACACTATCATGGCCCTGAATAAGTTGTTCCCCATTTTGGCTACAGTAAATTAACCACGGTTTAGCATTCATCCCTAAGCTGAGTCAGTCAGAGGTTCTCTTCCTGAGGTTTGTGATTAAGTCTGAACAGTTAGATTGGTCTGAGAAAATCAGACTATTGGCCCATAGGCTGCTCTGATTTACATATACATTGGTTCTCTTTTGTTTGACTTATTAGTATTCTGAAATAGGTGCCAAAAGAATTCAAATAGAAGAGTTAACAAAAAAGTTTTGGTCTCTGGCTGCTTTTTTGATCTTTTTGTTAAAAAGAGAGACTGAGCAACACTGTAATCATATTCCCCCACACCCCTATTTCCAGGAACTGAATGCTTCTTCAATCCCCCTTGTTGACAACAAGATTGTCCTCTTGACTTCTGTAGGCATTTGATATTGAGAGTTCTGCCCTCTCTGTGATAGGAGTTTGGACGTGGTTATGAATATATGAAAAAGTAGAGAAATCCTTTAAAAGAAGAAAGGATTATCTGGGGTTAAGGAAGAAGAGAGAAGACAGTGTGTGTGTGTGTGTGTGTGTGTGTGTGTGTGTGTGTGTGTGTGTGTATAGGGACTGAGAGAATTTTATGGAGAAAATAAACTACACATCTGTACAGACATTGGAATTATTATATATTCCTGGTTCTGAGTCCTTTAGTTTCTAGTTTGTTTGTGGTGGTTCTGGTGTACACTGTGTCTCTGAATGGCATGATTTAGCTTTTGATTAACTGCTCTTTTGATTGCTGGTGAATGTCCTTTTGCCTGCTAATAAATGAGAACATTCACCAGCAACCAAAAGAGCCTTGCTCCAGGCAAGAAATCAGAAAGAAAACAAAAAACGTATAGAAAAGTGGCTAAAAATTATTTTCTGACAGATAGTTCAAGTGACTAAAATTGTTTCCTAACAGATGGCCTACAAAATTTGATCCTGCTTAATCTCAACAACAATAAGCTTACTTGGCTTCCTGAAGAAGTCGGCAGGTAATTTTGCTTACAGTGAGACTTAGTGAATACATCATATCACTCCCCTTCTTCCCCATCCCCATCCTGATCATCTGACAGCCTTATGCCATGGATTAAGTCCTCCTGGGTTTATACCAAGTGTGGAGGGAGCCAAGGGAATGAAGCAAGCCACTAATTTTAAACAGATGAGTCCTCAAACACTTCAATAAATGAGAAACAGCATGACTTGGTAGTCTTATTGTAGAAGGAGAGATTTAAACATCCATTTCTAAAATGGGTGATGTAATGGATTTCCCAACTCTGGGTTTCTTGGAACTTGCTCTGAATTTCAGGATGTTAAATTTTTATTTCATGAATGTGGTTACCCAATTTGAGCCAGATGGAAAAGGTAGTACAAAAGTAAAGGATTTTAAAACCACGATGTCATTTTCATCAAATAAAACATCACATTTTATTATCATTTAGAGCAGCCAAAAAAGAGAGAGGCTGTTTTCCCTGGTCTTGCACACCTGTACAGAGAAGCTGCCATTACAACATCCTTCTAGAGCCAGCGGTGTGAGGGCTTTGTTCTTCTGCAGGTATAACACCCTCTTATGATTTTCCTCTGGAAAATGAAGAGAGTCCTGCTCAGGTTTACTTGGGAGAGAAAGACATATATTACAAAGTAAGAATAGCCAGAATTGTAAAGGCAGATCCAGAACTATGAGTAGTTGCTCATAACTACCCTAGTCTTCCGTTTTTTTTCTTTCCTGGCAGCCAAACTATGCTATGATTTCACAATGTATGGAGCTTATCTCTGGAGTAGAATGTACATTAGTCAAGGAATCACATAAATCTACGTGGAAACTTTCACCCAAACTAGTACATTTGCAAGTATATAGTCCATGTTGTATAGTGAAGTCACAGTTGTTAGTATTCTGGCTGATCCTCAAATGCAAACTCATGGTTCATAATTCCAAGTAAAATTCCATTTCCTCACTCTGGGGGGATGTTTTCCTTTTATCCTCCCTCTCTACCTTCTTTCCTTTCCTCCCTTCCTTCTCCCCTTCCTCCTTCTCCCCTTCCTCCTTCCTCCCCACCCCACCCCTCTTTAAAAGAATCTGGGTTTCCCGAAACTCACTATATAGCACAAGCTAGCCTCTAGCTCATCACTCACCATTTTCCTTCCTCTGCTTCCCAAAGAGCTGGGATTACAGGCATGAAATTCACCCCTAGAAGGTAAAGTTAGCAGGTGGAATTTTAAAAAATTCTTTCTCATACTTTAAGCTCTTCAATCTGCACAGTGAAGATGACAAAAAAGGATAATTCTGAGGTTCAAATTTGCTAATCCATAATATTTTGTGTTGCACAACTGATTAGTTGCTGTTAGTTTTTATTTTTCAATGCTATTTTTATTCTTCTTTTTTTTTTTTTTTTTGGTTGGTGGTGGGGCTTGAACTCTGGGCTTGGGCACTATCCCTCAGCTCTTCAGCTCAAGGAGAGCACTCTACCATTTGAGCCACAGCGCTACTTCCTGTTTTCTAGTGGTTTATTGGAGATAAGAGTCTCACGGACTTTCCTGCCTGGACTGGCTTTGAACTGTGATCCTCAGATCTCAGCCTCCTGAGTAGCTAGGATTACAGGCATGAGCCAATGGCACCCGGCTTGTTATTTTTTTCTAATTCTGTCTTTTATTCTAAGTCACTTCCTTCCCAAGACAAAATTGCGATCTTTTGGTGAATTTTGGAAAGGCGTTAAGCATAGTTTGACATCCAGCCTCCTTTTGCCCTACTGTAAGGAAGCAGTCGCCTTAAATGGACAGGCTAGAAACGAATGTTTCATTCATAGAAAAGCTAGTAGGGAGTCTGGGAGTGATTGTGTCCTCAGTTCTATGTGGCCTGAGTTCCTTTCCTTCTGAGTCTTACGTTTCAGAAGCTAGGAGAGGAAGGGAGGAGCTTGGTGTTTTAGATTACTTAAGCTACAGAATTCATGAGCTTGGAGTCCAAGCAGTACAAGTGGGGCTTTACCGTTCACATAAAATCTGTTCATAGCTTCAGAAAGAGAAAAATGTGAACATCCTAGGGACAGAATCTCTGAAAGTAAAAGAGGGAAAGAGGAAAGGAGCGAGCTTTCTCCAAATCGCCAGCCCGTGAAGTTTGTCTGTGAAGTCATTCAAGCCAGTGGAAGTGGGGGTAGGTGGACAAGGAGAAGCTGCAAGCATAGTGCCTTCTCTAGATTTCCATTTGAAAAATAATTCTCAAAAGCCACAGCCCCGTGTGGTATATGCTTGAATCTTCACTTCCTTGGGATGTGAAGGCCAGAGAATAGAGAGTTAGCAAGACCCAAAGTTATCAAGTCCCAATTTCCATGTCACCCCTCCACTAATTTTTATATCTCTTAGGCAACCAATATTTTGACCTACCTTGGCAAAATAGTTTTGTTGAAATGAAGGAATTTTACAATATTACTCATTGTCTGTATCTGTCTTTTGTTTAGTCCATACTTTATATACTTGTGTGTGTTTTTAAATATATACATATGTATTTATATGTATATAGGTATACATATTTGGGATTTACCTTATTGTTTCATTTACTAGTATTTCATTACATGTATGTCCCATAAAATATTTATTTTTTCTCCATTTGTGTACATCTGTCATAAATTAAGCAATCATAATTATTGTTATACGAGTCTTATCATGGACATATGTTTCTTTCTATTTCCAATCCCAAACAGTGGAGTTATAGTCATACAGTATATATAGTCATACAGAATTACTTTAAAAATATTTGCCTTTACTGTATCTAAGTAATTGTGTCATTTAAAAAATTTAACCAGATATTTAAATTTTCATCTATTCTACCGGAGGGTGTGAAGTAAAATCCTACTGTAGTTTTAGTTTGTATAGGCATGATGTTTAAAGATAGTAAGCACTTTCTCATATTTTCAATCACAATTTATATACCTTTTAATGAAGTATCTATTTTCCATGTTTTGCTCATTAAAAATTGTATTGTTTCTAAAAATTGAGTTAAAAGGGATTTTTTAACATTCTGGATGCAACTGCTCTGTCACATTTTGTTGAAGATATTTGCTTTATTCTGTGACTAGTATGTTAATTTTCTTAACTTTTGAGGAACTTCAGTTTTTAACTCTGATTATGTCTTACTTATTAATATTTTCCCTTTGTGATTAGCACTTTTTTGGGTGTTCTGAAAAAGGAATTGTTGCCTACCCCAAATTTATCAAGATATTTATTCTATATGTTTTTACAAACATCCTAGCCTTAGTTTTAGTTTGGATCTTTGATCTCTCTTGAACTAATGTTTGCGCATGGGGTGAATTAATGGTCAGAGTTCATCCTGCCCTCATACATTTATTCACTTGTTCCAGCACCATCTGCAGAAAGACATCTTTTCTTAGTTGAATTGCACTGACACTTTCTCAGATCAGTTGATAGTTTATAAGTCATTTAGACTCTGTTCTATTGGTCTATCCATCTTAGTTCATTTGGGCTGTGATAAAACCATGCTATAAACTAAATAGTTTATAAACAACACTAGTTCATTTTCACAGTTCTGAAAGCTGGGAAGTCAAGTTCTAGGTGCTGGCAGATTTGGTATCTCGTAAAGGCCCATTTTCTGATTCATAGAATGGCTCAGACAACTCCCTCTGTCCTAACAATGTAGGAGGAGCAAAGCAACTTTTGGGAGCCTCTTCTGCAAAGGCAGCAACTCAATTTATAAGAGCTCCATCTTCATGACCAAATCATCTCCTAAATGGCCGATCTTCTAACACTGCCACATTGTTGGTTAGGCTCTCAGATGAACAGGATAGTACAGACATTCAAACTACAGCTATGAAAATAAGTGACATGAGTTTTGGTAAGTTGTGTTTAACCTTTGGACAATTTTATTCTTATAAGTGAGTTTCATTGATATATTCTGCTTATTTTTTTTTTTAGGTTAAGAAGTCTAACGTATCTAAGTCTAAATTGTAACCAGCTAACCAGCATTCCTAGACAACTTTGTTTCCTTAAGAATCTTTCTGAACTTTATCTTAACTATAACCAGCTCAGTCGCATACCTGAAGATATTAAGTACTTAAAGAAGCTCCAGCGGCTAAGTCTGGCCAGGAACAACATTGAATTTTTGCCAGAGGTGAGTGAGATGTAGAGCCTCATTTTGATTGTTGTTGTTGGGGAAGGAGTCACTCACCATGTTTGGAAGGGGTTAGAGCTTGCACTTGGGCACCGGCATGCAAGCCGTCACTAATGTTACATCGAATTACTACCTAAATTTTATGACGGAAGACAGTTCTAATTTAGATTAGTTCACACGAAGCCATATTTAGTAAATAAAAACAAAACAAGTCACTTACATTTGATTTGATAAGCAATAAACATTTTTCAGTCTACATATATTTCATATGTTGTATGGGAGTATACTTATACTAAAATTATTCATTTTTTTCTATGACTTCAGTTTAATTGAATATTATGTCTTATCTGGTAACCGACCATACAGAACAAAATACAGTTATGTCTTGGCTTTGGAATATAGGCTGGATACTGTCTGTCTTCTATATATTTTCTTGGTCGATCTTCCTTCTGCCCTATGCTTGTGAGACTCACCAGCCTTGATGTTGATAAACTCCCTTGTTTCCTGGCTTCCTCTTGAATATGGCCAATGAGGCATTAGCAGGAAACAAAAGATCAGGAGGACAGTGAGTACCAACTAGATACCACTTCCATGGAACTTTCTCAGGCAACGTAGGTGGTCACGTGTTGTGGTCTCTTTGCTGCATCCAGTTGGCTCTTTAGGAATAGGATGATAAATATATTGTTGTTACTAGCTCTGTGGATTTCAGAAGCCACTTTTCTTAGTTTAAGAGAATTTAGCTTCTCCCCCCCCCCAAAAAAAGAAGAGAATTTAGCTTTCTTAAAACCAGCCACACGTTTATAAATTGACCCTTTATTAAGATCTCTTCCCATCTTCCAGTTTGAGAGTTCTTTCCTAGTAGGGACATGTGAATGCATTTACCTTCTTTTCTTATGCATATTAGAGTTATTTTCATAGGCAATACGCCTAGTACAGTAAATTGAGAAATAAAAACCAGCAGAGTGATATGGTAGGCATATAAATGAAAAACATTTGGTCTTTCTTTTCTTTTGTGAGACTGTTTCCTTTAAAATTTTTGTGCTTGCCAGGCACCAGTGGCTCATGCCTGTAATCCTAGCTACTCAGAAGGCTGAGATCTGAGGATTGTGGTTCAAAGCCAGCCTGGGCAAGGAGAGTCTGTGAGACTCTTATCTCCAATTAACCACCAGAAAAATGGAAGTGGTGCTGTAGCTCAAGTGGTAGAGTGTTCGCCTTGAGCTCAGAGACAGTGCCCAGGCCCAGAGTTCAAGTCCCATGACTGACAAATAAAAACATTAAAAAAATAAAAATTTGTACTTACTATGATGTGTTCCGTGAAAACATTTTAAAGCAATAGCCTGAATATTGAATATGTTTCAAAATTGTTGTCCCTATTTACTAAACATGCTAATGTCTGCAAATGAGTCAAAAAAATCTTGAAATTAAAAAGTAAATATTAAATCAAATATAGATTGTAAAAATAAACCAATTAAAAATAAATTTATTAAAATAACATTTTCTTGAAGGAAAAGCAGTAAGAACAGCAAAGCAGCATCATGGGAAGTGTCTTATTTAGTGTTTATAACAACTCTCTGACAAAACTGTATGGAACACAAGACTAGTGTAACTCAGTCACGGTTTAGAAATGGACCAAGACCCACATCTGTCTGTCTTAAATGTATGTCCTTCAAGTCATTACTCCTCTTACTACTTTTACTACTAGACTATAAATGCTAGTTTTAAACAATTTAAATGCTAACTAATCAACTTTCAGGTAATAATGCCTGTAATCATTTATAGTGTGGATACTTAATATGAGTCTATCTATCATTGTTCTTTTTGGTCTGCAGTATTAATAAGGCACTACAGAAAATCCCCTTTTTTATAGGACAATTTGGGAGTCATTTTTCTAGTACATTATAAATTATATACATGTCTGTACCTGTATGAATGCATATTTTCTCTCTCTCTATATTTTATTATACACCTAGGAGTCAGGCCTTGATTTTATTTTTCTAAAGTGGTCTGAGGAATAGACAAGCTTTTGATTAATAATACCTAGAACTTACAAAATGTATTCTTATTATTTATTGTAATTATTATTTGATGGCACAGGACTTTGAATTTAGAGCCTTGCTTTTGCTAGGCTAACGCTTCACCATAAAAGCCATGTGTTCATCCTTTTTTGCTTTTTAAATTATTTTTCAGCTAACGTTTCACATTTTTTGCCCAGATTGGTCTTGAACCAGGATCTTTCCACTCATGCCTCCCACATAACTAGGATTACAGACATGAGCCACGAAATATATTCTTAATACAAAACTTTCACCACTATTGTGGTAGATAAAGTCATTGAATACTGTCTTTGGAGTTACGTTTTTACACTAGGAGGTAGAAGAATGATAAAAGACATTGTGTGGGAATGCCCTTTTTTCTGTAGAGAGAAAAGCTCTATTGAATCCCAAGAGCTGGTTTTTGCCTCCAAAATTTATATGGTGAAATACTAACCTCCAGTGTGGCAATATTAGGAAGTTGGGCTTTGGGAGATTATTAGGCCACAGGGTAGGGGAGGAGGGGGAACCCCTCACCAATGGGATTATTGTCCCTATAAAAGAGGCCTCGGAGGGCTTCCTGGCTCTCCTTTAACCAAGTGAAGAGGTAAGAAGTTGGCAGTTTGCATCTGGGAAGGGAGCCCACCAGGACTCTACCATGCTGACATCCTGGTCTTGGACCTCTTGCCTCCAGAACTGTGAGAAACAAGTTTCTGTCATTTATACCCTCTCTAGTCTGTATTCTTTCTTCTATCAGGACAACTAATATATTAGCATCAGTCCTTTGTTTTGGCAGGCCAACTATTATATTACTATACTAAATTAATATATTAGTATATGTAATGTAGTAGCACATTAAAAGTACTGAGAAAACCTACAGTTAATGGTTAAACTTAAGTCTAGCTTAGACCTTTTTTCCATTTAAAATACATTACTATCTCAGGAAATATGCCTAGGCAATTTTCAACAAATGAAAATTGTTTTAACTTTAAAAATGCAACTCATAGATATTAATTAGTCAGAATAACTAGTCCTCTTTAACTTAATACCTAGCGTGTAGTTAAATATGACTGTCTTTTTTCTTGCTGTTTATTTTTTATAATGATAGAAGAATTTTGTTTTGGTAAATGCCCTTCTTCAATCTGTGAGATTTGCTTACTGTTGATCTGTTCACTGGTTTGGCATGAATATTCTATCATGAATTATACTCAGAATCCTGAGTAGTTAATATGCATGACATGTATAAAAGATCTTTACAAATTGGACTTTTTCTTTCTTTAGTTCTTCCTGGCCACACTGTTTTTGTCACATTATACTTTCTGTAGTTCTTTCCAAAGCAGTGGAATGTGCTCTGTTCCAAGTATATCAGAGAATCTTAGCTTAAGTTTTACATTTTCCTGAAAACCATTCTGAATTTTCCATTATTTTCTCTTTTTAACACTTTAGAACACTTATTCCTATAACAAAACATAGCCATTATCTGTAAATTTTTAACCCTTTGACTAAAGAGTTATTGGAATCAAACAAAAGTCAACAACAAAAAGGTCAAAGATGTATTTTTAAATAGGTTGGAAAGTTCTTAAATTTTAGCTTGCAGATATTGAGTACATATTGGGAGTCAGAAAATCATGGTCACTGATACAATAACAATAGGATAATGGCAATGGAAAGATGGAATTTAAGAGGATCACATATATGGCAGATGATAAATTCCATTTCTAGGGCAAGTCACTCATCTGTAGGATGAGTGACCTAGCCCTAGCTCTTAGCTCTTTCAGGCTGTGTTTTATTGATAGTGGGCCTTCTTTCTTACCTGAAGTCTTGCTCTTCCTAGAATATCCTGTATCATCTGACTGACCAAGGCAGTTATATGAAGGCTTGACCATTTCTGTCTGATGGAGAGCAACTTCCACAGGCAGTACTGACTAAAGAGTTCAATGAGATTCTGTTGGATCTGTCTTCCATCTTGATTTTTTTTTCTGTTGATCCGATCTTATTTGTTGCCTCTGTTTTATAGGATTGGATCCCTAAAACACACCTAGCACCCCAAAATTTAACTCAGCATCTTCTTTTGAAAGATGCAACTATAATAATATGTAACAAAGCTGAAAGGAAGGATAGTTAGCAAAGCTAGAAACATACTGTCTTCGTACGAAGAGATTTGATATTCAAAATAAGAGTGACATTTGTGAAATATTTCTACAATTGTTTATTGTTTCCCTTATTTCTCAATGAAAAAGGTTTTTTTTATGATTTTAGTTAAAACAAATCTTACATACTCTGTGCTTATTAGTACAAGTGCAAGAATTCAGATATAATATATATCCATATAGTTGGGACAATCCATAGTAATATAGGACAAGTATATATTTAGTAATAGATTTCATTCCTTCATAAAGTAAAGGCAGTGTTAGCACAGTTCCAAGCAAAAAGTAGACATGTAACATTCTGGTGGAGTTTAGAGACACTATTCCCGGACTGTGTTTTCTGTTTCTCATGATATCTTTTTACTTTAATAACAACTAAGTTCTATTTAGAGTTCACTGAACATAAAGCTATTTCGTAACCGCTTTTACATTAATAACTTAATTTGATCCACCCAATGACCACATAAGTAGGGTTTCTATTTTCATTTTATAAATGGAGAAATTGAAATTCAAAGAGATGCTTAGTAATTTGTCCACAGATTTGTAATAGATTTGTCCATAGTTTGTAATAGTCAGAGATGAGATTTGAACCTAATAGTAGCCTCACTCAAACTCTATTTTACCTTTCCCTGGAATAGCCAGAAGAAATAGGGAAGATGTAATGAAGTGTTGGGTGGGTCAGTTCTTTTTCCTCTTCTTCCTCTTTTTCCCCTTTTTTTTTGTTGGTCATGGGTCTGGCCTGGGTACTGAGCCACAGTGCCACTTCGATTTTCTGTTGGTTAATTGGAGATAAGAGTCTCATGGACTTCCCTGCCCTGACTGGCTTTGAACCACGATCCTCAGATCTCAGCCTCCTGAGTAGCTAGGATTACAGGCGTGAGCCACCAGTGCCCAATGATCAGTTCTTCTTCATAGTTATTTTCATGAAGTTTGAGGTTACAAAAAACCCCCAAACTTCTGATTTTAGATATTAGATTATAAAGTCTCTTTCTCTCTTTGTTTCTAACAGGAATTTTGTGATCTTAAAAAACTAAGAATCCTAGATGTAGCTGGAAACATTATTCAGATATTTCCATCAGGCGTAAGTAGAGTTGATTTTTATTACATTCGAAAAACAATTTTGTTTGTGCTACTGGGAATATGAATATAAGAGCAGCCAATAAATGCTGTAGTAATTGAAACCTTGAAATATTTTGCTTTATTTCAGAATTTAAAAACTTGGTCTTTCTTTTCCTTTTCTTTTTGCTCTTGTTTGAACTAAATGAACTTTGCTATCATAAATATTTTAATATATCAGTTATAATTAAATATTTTGGTTATGACATACCGCTTTTGCTCACTTTAGAGTTTTTGAAATATTGCTTTCTAAGGCATAAGTTTTTGTTCCTTGTAATTAATCCAAAGGTGACACTTTTATTAGTTGTTTTAAAGATATAAACCATTAAGAGTTTATCTTTTCATTTGGAAATAAATTTTGATATTTTTCAACTTTAAATAATGAAGATTTGGTGACTTTTAGCTCTTGGAAAAATAGTTTCTAATATTGCATCTTTATATACAAGTGAACATGAGTCACTATTAAGGGAATATGTAGAAGTCTATTAATCTAGATAGTGCTCTGAAATTAGCTGTTGAACCACTAATTACTTTTTTTCCTGAATGTTTGAGTCCAAATTGAGTTTCATACTTTTCCATCCTTTAGAGAAGTATCTTATACTGATGATAATTCAAATATGATAAAATAAGTTCAAAGTAGATTTTAGGGAAAATGACTTTATATATAATGTAATATGCTTTATATAAAATAATATGCTATAGATAATGTAGTTTTTCCTAAATATGTAAATGTGTGTATGTATCTATATATTACCCTTTTAACCATTTCAGGTGTATTTATAGTTTGACACAAAATATTTTAACAGCGTCCATTGTCACTATCCATTCCATAACTTGTGCTGGTACCAAAAAAGCTTGAAATCAGAGCCCCATGATTTTGCTTGGTTTCATTGCTTAGGCTGGTATTCTACCGTTTTAGCGATTCCTTGAGTCTTCCAAACCTCTTTTATCTTTCTCAACAGAAATTTAGTGTCATTAGAAAAATTCACCACTCTCTTTTTAGAAACTTGTAGCAGGTTAAGATGTGATACTCTGCCTCCTCTCTGGTAACCACCATTCTATTTTCTTTCTCTATGAATTTACTCTTTTGTCCTTTTTTGTTTTCTTTTTTGTTCGTCGTGGGGCCTGAACTCTAGGCCTAGGTCCTGTCCCTCAGCTCTTCAGTTCAAGGCTAGTGCTCTACCACTTGAGCCACAGCACCACTTCTGGCTTTTTCTGCTTATGAGTAATGGAGTAATTCTGAGTAATCGAACCCAGGGCCTCATGCATGCAAGGCAAGCACTCTACCACTGAGCCACCTTCCCAGCCCTCCTCTGTAATCTTTTTTTAAAATAAGTTTTTTTATTGTGAAAATACTGTACAGAGGGGTTACAGTTACATGAGCCAAGGTAGTGAGTACATTTCTTATCAAGCATTGTTACCTCCTCCTTTGTTTTTCCCCTACCATCCCTTCCCTCCCACCTCCTCAACTACACTTCCCTCCCTCCATGTCGTACGCTTTATATGACTAAAATCATATACCAGTTGTCCTTTCTGACTGGCTTATTTCACTTAGAACAATGTCCTTATGTGCACCAACACTGTAGTGTCAGAATTTCTTTTCATTTTTAGGTTGAGTAATATTCAAAATATTACTTGTGTATGTATTACATTTTGTCTATCCATTTATCTGTGGGTGAACACTTGGTTATTTCCATCTTTTGGCTCTTCTGAGTGATGCTGCTCCCAACATCCATGTATAAATATTTATTCTAGTTTCTATTGGGAAGTAGAATTATTGAATTATATAGAAATTTTGTGTTAATGTTTAAAGGTGTCAATACACTATCTTCAAACTTTATAGTTTTACTCAAAATAAGATGTTTTTAAAGTTGACCTGGTAAATGCTACATGTATTTACTCAGGCTGTATTTCTTCATTTAGCTCTCTATACCTGCCTTGTTTCTCTTAACTTTCAAAGAAGCCTTCAGTGCCATCTCTTCTGTGGTACAATTGGACTTAGTCTTTTCAAGGATGTCTTGCTTTAGACTGTGAATCTTCTAAAAAAGATTTTTTTCTCTCTCAAATACTTTTAGAGATAGCATTTATTCTGGTTATTATCTGGTTTTGAATATCATTCATTGTAACAAATGTGGGCAATAAATAAGAATAGAGAGAGCAAAATTTAAGGTGCCTCTAAGTTTACCTCTTAGAAATAATGCTTACAGAAGTATGTCTTCAAGTATCTCATACTATTTTACAAATAAAATTGAAAGTGTACTATGTAAAAAGTGTATATCTTGTTTACTCAACATTATATATTGAGCACTTTCCTTAAACTACTGTTCTTCAAATACTCCATTTCTAATGAATAGTTATTCTAGTTTCCTTTATCCTATGTTTAGTTTATTTTACAATTTTATTTATTGATGGAATTGGATTAGATTTTGAAGCTATAAGCCACTGAGGACAAAGATGATCTATCATAGAGTGCCTTTTATTTGCATCCTTTTTTTTTAGGGGTGGGAGTGACATTTCCAAAATATGCCTTGTTATGGATACTCAATGATCTATGGAAACACTGCCTGTTGTTTAGTTAGTTCAGAAACCAGTGATGCTTGGTGTAAGAGTTTCCTATGGCTACCATAACAAAGTACCACAAACTTGGGTTTAAGTCTTCTTAAAGGGTACAAGTCCTTGGATTGTGGTCCACCCTAATTTAGTATGACTTCATCTTAACTAATTATATCTGCAAAGACTCTGTTTACAAATAAGTTCACATTCTGAAGTTCTGAGTACACATGAAGTTTGGGTGGATGAAGCAACACTATTTAATCCATTACAGTTTGGTAGCATATTGAGATTTTATACTCTGTCTGTGAAATAGATAGGACTCTCATCTGTGAAGAACTCAATTCAATGAGTGAATATTTGATATTTCTTCTGTGGCTAGTTGTCTCCCAAGTGTTGGGCTTAAAGATTTGCAGAATTCCTCCCCTCACATAATTCTGAAGAGGCAGATGAACAAATATAGTTGCTACCTGTAGGAACTTCACGATTCACATGTGAAGGAATCTCTAGAAATTGAGAGAGATAAATACAGAAATGTAGGATTAGAAAAGTTGATGGAACTAATATTAACCAGCTTGGAAATAAAAGAGGATGAATAGGTGGGAATTTCATTGTGAAGAAAGTGACTATTTGTTATCATAGTTTTTGATAAGGGAAAGAAAAAAATACATTGTCATTTGCTTTTGAAGATTTGGATAGCATCAGAGGGATTTGAGGGAGAACAGAGTTACTATTGTCTCCAGTTTCTAAAAGAAAAGATAGAAAACTGTCTTTGAAGTGATTGTGATTAAGTATTTTTAACAGAGAGAAAGAAATTACTGAGATTTTCAAAGTTTTTTTTTTTTAACAATATTGGAAGTACTATTAAGCACATCATCTTTTTCCTGATTCTTCTTTCCCTCAGGGGCACAGTTATTTTCCAACCTGCTTTTGAAGAAATATTGAACCCCCAAAAATGAGAAAACATTTTAACAATCATCAACAGGGCATACCTTGAGGTTTACCTTTGATATGAATCTTATGCCAAAGATACAGAACACTGCAATCCCACAGGAAACTTCACTTTGTCAGAATCCTTCATTAGCCATCTATCCAGCGATGACTACTTTCCAGATCAAGAAATGGTATTAGCAGTGGTTTTTTCAGGGCTTACAATTTTTAGTTATCTAGTAATTTTCAGGCTTGCAAAGCAAATTTCGGTGTTACAAAAATTTATTCTATGAAGACAAATGGGAAATTATTGTTCCTATTTGGAGTCAAGGCTGTTGAGGCTCTAGAGAATTTACTGAATGTCTTTGTTCTCAAATTTGAGTACACATTAGAATCCACTGGATGGCATGTTAAAACCCAAAAGACTGGGCCTCTCTCCCAGAGTTTCTGAGTCAGTAGTGGGGAACCCAAGGATTGCACATTTATTAAGTTCTCAGGTGATGCTGGTGCTGCAAGTCTGTGGGGACCACACTTGGGGAACCTTTGGCGTATATTACAAATAAGTAGTGGATCTGGACCTAGCATTTCACCCTTCTTGACGTATCTGAGGAATCTGTTCTTTGTCTCAGGACTGACCAGCAGGGACTGTCCCTGCGACAATATACAAAATAAACAAGGCATTTCTCGTTTCTCACTGGGAGTTTGAGTTCTGAAAATTTCACTGTGTCCTTGACTAAAATGATACTTAAGGAATGTTCCTCAAACAATAGGATGTTTGTATACTCTGAAAAGTTCTTCACAAAACTAGAATTTTTGACATGTGAGCAGGAAGAATTCCTCTAAAGTTGGAACTGAGATTTATGTGTTGCTTAGTGAGTGAGCCTTACTTAGCCATGTTGTAGACCTCCATGGTTTGTTTGTTTATGCCATTGATGAAACTCATTTGGTGTTTGTTCATCAACTAATATGAAAGCAGATAGAACTAGTTTTTATTTATTTTTAATTTTAACTTTTGTCAATCATGAGGCTAGGCCCTGTCCTTGCACTTTTGTGCGCAAGTCTAGCCCTCTACCACTTTAAGCCACAGCTCCACTTCCAGTTTTCTGGTGGTTAATTGGAGATAAGAGACTCACAGACTTTCCTTCTTGGGCTGATTTTAAACCAGTATCCTCAGATCTCAGCTTCCTGAGTTGCTAGGATTACAGGTGTGAACCACCAGTGCCCAGCTTTATTTATTTATTTATTTTGGCAAGTGATCTTCACATCTTACTTGAGATGAAATTTAAGAAGGGAAATCTTCATCATATTATTTTTAATTGAATATGAGTTTTGTCTTAAGTTGGCTGGTTCCAGTTTGGATATGAAACTCAGGTTTAGCTGACCCAATTTTACACCGACAGATCAATATGAGTTTATGAGAAAAGGCTTTGATGCTTAAGAAATGTGTTTAAAAGTTATAAATCATAGCTAATGCCACATTTTCCA